GTTTTTGAAATTGGTCCATGCACAAAGCATTGTGGGTATTTTAAGGACGCAAAGTCTTCCCATGTGCAGCCTCGAAATTTCCCCCAAACCAAGGACGCGGCCTCTGTGGAATTCCAAGTATGTTGGAGATTGGAACAGTCCTTCGGCGGCACTCGATGACGTAGCATCCTTGAAATATTGGCTTGGAAGCCAAAATCGTCGCGATTGAGAAACGGCCACTGTCTCTGGGGTGGCGGAGGAGCGGAGACGAGGGACGGAGCCCCTGCAGCCGCCGAAGGGCGACCCTGATATGAGGTGTGATTTGTGCCAAAGAAGGAACTCACTGAGCAGACAATCGTGTCGATCGCATGGATGTATAATAAGAACTGGATACAGCGTGGGAGGCGGGGCCTCATTCTTTCCTATGAGAGTTGCTCATTGGCGCATGATGATAAAATGGGCCAACTTTTGAGAGAGCGAAACGTCACAGATTACCCATCATGCCTGAGAAGTACCCGTATGTGCACTCATAGCGCATGCGCAACTTTAACCACGCCCCCCAAAAGGCTCGTTCACATTAAGCACGTCAATTTGCGTACATTAACAGCACCGTGCGTTCATGACAGCATGGTACTGGGTAGTTTATTTAGTTTAAAAAAATTATCCAACGATTTACAGACCACTCTTTCCCAATGTTAGTCAATGGGAAAAAGTGTTTCCAGGCCCAGCAACCTAAAGGAAGTGTAGTACCGCCGTTTGGCCACAACGAATATTCTCATCAGAGTCCGGCGCACTTCCTGGGGGCTTGGTCGATCGTCGCCTACCATGCCGTGAACTATGCCGTGGGAGAAGTAACGTGACACTCTCGTCGCCACCCCTCTCGTCTGAGAAGCTACGTGACGTCTGCGTCTGAAGTTACTTTACTTTGGTAGTTATCACCAAATAACCCAGTAATGTTACAGCTACTTAGTTGCTGTTCAAGCTAGACTCTATTTCAATATAGTTTTGGTATTCAAATAATGTTACACCTCTTGTATGCCCTGAACGCAAAAACAACCACAAACAAGAATATATATTTGTGATTATCAAAATGATAACAAAGGCTGAAAAAACAAGAGAAGCCCGTCTTCCCTTGGTCTCCAGGAGAAAACTGAATATCACCAAGTTTTCATAGATTTGTGTGTGAAATAGATCGCTGCAGTGAACACGACTTTATGTATTTGTTTATGGTTTATTTGATATGGAGGGATGCAGTATACATAGAAGTTCAGAGAAGAAGCAACCCATATTGTTTATTTCAGGCAAACATAGAGTTAATGTGCAGAGATTATAATGTCCTGTTTACTAAAATATGTATTTGTTTTATGATGTTTAGTTGACAAAATAGTCACAGTCCTAAATTTTTCTGCACTCAAGCAAACATCTGAAGACAAGAGTTGTGTCCCCCTTTGGCCACAAGGGGGAGTATATATATTGTATAATATATATATTTTGTATAGATGTTGCAACTATACAGAGCTTTGGCAATACTATATGAAACTATGGTCATGCTAATTGAATTGAATTGAGTATACCTTTAAGTGAGCTGTCAGGAGGAAACAAAGGTTCACCAACACATTACTCTACTGCTGAGAAAGGCTGTACAAAGACGTGAAACGATGTGCTGCAATGTCTGTATATTTTTGAAGAATGCCAAGTAAAGGAAGAAAGTAATAACTCGCACTGAGCTTTAATACATCACTTTATTTCATTATTTCCCCCCTTCATTTGAGAAACACTATTATTATGTTTGTGTTACACACACACCATTACTGAATTCATTCTAGAACCAAGAATAACCTACAACAATAGGGAGCCCTGGATCAAGGACGGACAAAACAAGGACACCACACATGATTCTTTTCCAATTACAGTATATTTATTTAAAGAGAGTAACTAAATGTTGATATCAGTTTAATCAGTAATGTGTGTAGTACGGGTGTGTGATGTGTCAGCAGGGCCGGACTGAGACCATATAGGTCAGGCTGGGATTTATACACCCAGCCAGGCCATACCAGTTTGTTTTGGGGGGCGTCTTGCTGGATGTATCATCAATATTTACAACGTTGCTGCCCTACTCAGTTGCAATTTCCCTTGTGCTGGACCCTGAATCTTGACTTGTCTTGTCAACCTCCTCAGCATCTGCTGGTACTGAATAAGAACCAGCACTGGGATTCAACTCTGATCAATGACTATAACTTATTGAGAGAACATGAACATAGCTTGCTTATACTGTTGTCATTACATTTCCTTTGGTTTTGTTCAGTGTCAGTCATAGCCTATTGAAACAGTTTCCTCTGTACCTGCCAGTTCTGTCCACTGAGCTCTGTCTGCATCTCTCCCTCAGGGCCATCACCATCATCTGATAGTGGAACTGAATAAGGAGAACATGTAATCATTACATTAATAACTATGTATGAAATAACATTATTCAAGAACATATATTATGCAACACTTATTTTATCACTAAGTTGACCCTGTATTTGCATGGCCTAATACCATAATGATTGTCTCCCCTTTAGACAACATAACCACCTCAAGTTATTCACTCACAGTATGAGGGGTTTGTAGCCCCACAGTTAGCTGCAGTCTAACGGTTATATTACATATAGTTGCCTGAGTAACATTAAGGACATGTTTGGGTTTTGTGTTGCCTTAGTCTCCAGTCACACAGAGCCTGCCACTAACTTAGCATTGGACTGAGAAACTGTTTTGTTGATAGTCAATGTGCTGTCAGGCTACAATATAGAAAGAAATGTGGCTCATAATGTTTGCTCACTTACTTTCTGCTTTGTCATTCTATACCATACGGGTGTTCTGAATAAATCAGTGATTTTAGCACATTTCGCTGCATTTTTGTTGCAGGATGGGGGTCCATCCTTCCACAATAATTAACCTTGCCGTCAGTTTCAGTCGGTCCAGTCCACACTAATGTAAACAGTAGTGATGGGTCGTTCGTGAACGATTCGTTCTTTTTGAACGAATCTTTGAAGTGAACGAGATGAACTGATTCCTCCCACAAAACGATTCGTTTGTTTGAGTCGCCGCCTTCCGCCAAAAGCTAAAGAGAAGCTGTTCGCGAACGACAAACTTAAAGAACTGGCGGAAACAGTTCAGAACTGTTTCCGCCAGTTCTTTTATCTTATATCCCTTTCTTTCAAGAGGAGGGTCCCGTTAGGGCCCCTCCGAAATACTGGATGTTCCGTCTACACAGAGTTGGACTCAGTTAGACAACTACCACAAATACAATGAAGTACTTTACTGTTGGACTCAGTAGGCCTACTAGTTGGACTTCTACCACAAGTAGGCTACTATGAAGTTATTTTACTGTGTACTTTCAGTTATTGTCTGTCAAACTCCTGTGGCAGAAAATCTTTTTATCTCTCATCAAATATAGCAGAAAACATGCAGTTTGACAGAGGATTAAAACTGTAATCAGAGCACTCTCATCTGAGCTCCGTTACACACACACAGGAGCGGGACATCCTCCTCAACCTGTCCGCCATACATGCCTCAGAGGACGGATACCTGAACCGTAGCGTCCAGTTAGCTTAGCCGCTAGCTTAGTGATAAATACACACAGCGTTGTATTCTCCTCCCCCTGTCGGCCCTAAAAGCTTCAGATGGTGGATACCTAAGCTCCATAGCGTCCCGCTAATGTGAAACACACACACAGCGTTAGCGGGACATTCTCCTCCCCCTGACGGCCCTAAAAGCTTCAGAGGGCGGATAGCTGGGCTCCGTAGCATCCAGCTAGCTTAGCTGCTAGCTTAGCGATAAATACACACAGCGTTGTATTCTCCTCCCCCCGTCGGCCCTAAAAGCTTCAGATGGTGGATACCTAAGCTCCATAGCGTCCCGCTAATGTGAAACACACACACACAGCGTTAGCGGGACATTCTCCTCCCCCTGTCGGCCCTAAAAGCTTCAGAGGGCGGATAGCTGGGCTCCGTAGCGTCCCACTAGCTTAGCCGCTAGCTAAAGGTAAACATAGATGGGTACATACTATAGAATATGAATAAATCGTCACCGATGTAGAGGATTTTTTTTTTTATTCACTTTGAACTCGGCCAAATGGAGTTTAATGCTTTGGGATTTAAGTTAGGCCACATACTGTAGTACGTGCATGGGTTTGAAAGTATAACGTGCTAGCCTGCTGTAATACATCGTATAGTCAGGCACACATTTATGAGAGATTTAACAATGGCCAATTATATTTCTTAAATAATATGTAGCCTATTCCCAGAGCATAATTCATGGGGCAACAAGGTGAGGTGTAAAATGTGTTTTCATATCATACATTTTACGCCAGCAAACTTCTTGTACGGACTTCGGCAGTAGTGAAGACTCACTGAACGAATTAAGTACAAAGACGAATCGTTCGCGAACGTGCAAATCACTAGAAGTCGTTCGCGAACCGGTGAACGAATCAGTGAATGAATCTTTCAAGTGAACTGAATCAAAAGATTCGTGTCCCCGAAGGGAATCTAAATGCCCATCACTAGTAAACAGCAGCGCGCTGGTCTCGTGAGAAACGGAGAGTGAAAAACCAATCATATCTTCATTATTCTCCTGAAATTGAAATGTGCCCATTCGATAGTCTGACAGTGGTTCTCACTGCGCCTCATACCGGTGCAACTTTGAACAACTTCAATATATGCAGCATTAATGGCAGTGGCGATCCGTGACTTTTCTACCTAGGCCCTCTGACCCCACCCCCCTCTTCCCTCGAAAAAAAAAAGAAAAAGTTTTTACGTCACAGCCTATAGTATACTTCAGCGGAATATCAAAACAGCGGCCCGGGGTGCAAAACGCATCAATGACAGCGACCCTCTACCACACAAAACAACACCATTTATATAAACACCTATCATGACAGGGCACCCACAGCCAAGTAACAATTACAAATGAATCAAGTCGGCACGGCGGCCCACATTGAAAATCACTTTGACTTACCTTTGATGATCAAATCACTGAAACACAAAGTCCATCCTCCTGTCTTTTTGGATGAAGAACTTGATGGCGTCGTCATGCAGGTGATCCTTTGCTTTTAAAGCAATCAGCAATTCCTTCTCGATCGAAATTAAGGCCAAGTCTGACAGTCGGACTTGCCCAGTCGTGGACCTCGAGTAGCTTTTTATGCGCTTCAGCGCAGAGAAGGACCTCTCCACAGAGGCAGTGGACACAGGTATTGTCAGGATGATGCATGAGAGGGTGTACACCTGTTTCATGCTTTCACTCAGTCCTTTTTTGAGGAGAAACTGATGAATGTCGGCTGGGCTTTTCCCCAAAATGTCAGACATGCCGTACATCACGGCGAGTTCCGTGTGCAGTCGAGGCTGGTCGAAATATCCGCCATAGCTCTCCATCAAACTGTTCAAGGCAGCAGTTGGGAAATAGTTACAGTAATGCCCGAACTGTTGCGGGTCCAGAAGGGCCAGGAATTCCAGCTTTTTGTGGTCACTGAAGCGGTTGGAAATCTGGGTTAGCAGGCTGTCAATTACGCTGCAGTGGAGCTCCCTGTACCGTGCACGAACGTCTCCTTGAGCTCCACGGCCGCGCGGAGGACCAACCAAAGCCTGGGTTTTATCGTAGACGCTGTCAAAGTTCCCCTTCTCCTGTTCAATTTGTCGCTGTAGCTGATCCACTCTGGCCAGGCAGAACTGCATATCAAAACCTTTGTTCTGAAGTATTTCAAAAACAACATCCGAGTAGGAGAAGATAGCGTGGAAGGTTTTCAACCAAAAGCTGAAATCGAAGCTGGTAAGGAGGGTGATGTATCCATCAGAGCAATGAACAGTTTCGTCATCAAACTCTGTGTGATGGTCTACGATGTGCTCGAACACCTACGAGAGTAATGCTTAGTTTAGAAAAAACAACTTATAGACCTCCAGTAAACACTAAGATTAGCTTTTCATTTAATGTAATACTAGCATAGTTCTTTACCTTCATGTTTTTATGAGTGGGTAGTTTCCAACACTAAATCATTTATTTATTATTGTTAATATTTTCATTACGTTCATTGTTATTATTATCTTACCTCTCTCAATTCCCTGGTCTTATCTGCCACTGTGCACACCAAGCAAGAATGAAAGCACCAGCGAGTAGGAGCTGCCCGTGGAAGCCTATGCTGGCAAATATCATCCAGTAGCTTGGTGCGCTTTGCTGAGCGGCTGAAAAAGGTGGCCAAGCCAGAGAGGTGGGAGAAGAAGACCTTACACTCTCTTATCTTGGAAGCTCCATTTGACAAAACGAGATTTAAGATGTGAGCATAGCAGTGAATGAAAAGGGCCTGTGGAATTGTTTCCTTAACTTTCGCTTGCACCCCATTCAATCCAGAGGCCATAACAGCTGCTCCATCGTAGCACTGCGCGACCACTTTGTCAATACAGCCACTCTCCCTCAGGAACTCCAGCAGCCGTGTAGCTATGGCCTCTGCTTGTTTGTCCTCTGTCACATCTTCGTACTTGAAGAAACGCTCTTTTATCCCATCGTCAGTGACATATCGAAGCACATATGACATCTGCGCCACGTTGCTAATGTCTGTCGTTTCATCCAACATGACCGCAACAAAAGGTGCCTTCCTCAGCTCCTCTTTCATGCTATCCGTCATTACACTAGCGACAGCGCTGATCAGGTCATTCTGAATCCTTGAAGATGTGCCGGTAAATACTGTTGATGTGGCGAGGTGTGTGTGCAGGTCGCTGTCATATTCTGCCACTAAATCCAGTAACTCTATGTAATTCCCCTTGTTTGATGAAGTTACACTCTCATCGTGACCTCGGAACGGCAACTCCTGCTTGCCCAAGTACACCACACAATTTATCAGGCGTTTCAAAATTCCTCGGTTCCTCTTCACCTTTTCATTATGAAGGATGACACCCCGGCGTTGTTGCTCATCCAGCTGGAGCTCTATCCTGGTGTCCCCAAATGTTTTAAGCCGAATAGTAGCTCTGAGGTGACCTGAAGCATTCTGATGGCGATGTGCTGATTTGGATAAACTTCCTAAATCAGAATATCCATCTCTGGCCCATGACCCACTGTCCGCTCCAAAAAGTAGGGGTGGGCGATACCACAAAATCTGGATTCGATCCGATACCAAGTATTTCAGGGCCAGTATCGCCGATACCGATATCGATACCGATACTTTTTTTAATGAAAAGCGTCTTATGTACTTTCATATAGGGGAGAGCTGCATGACATGATTTTTGAGCTGAAATCATCATAAATAGACTAAATCTGAATTCATTTTCATGAATAAAGACAGGACAGTTTTTATAGACAAATACACGTTTTACTTTTGCAAATTTAAAGTGCAAACATGAAAAATAACAATACAAAGTGGCCAAAGTAGCGAACTGTCTTCTTGCACACATCACAGTTCGCTAAGTTTTAATGGCCAGTTGTGAAATTGCTCCACACAACGCTGCTCTTTCTCTCAGCCATCATGCGCGTGTGTGTGTTGCACTCGCGAGTCGCTGGCTGCTGCTGTCCTGCCCTGCTGGCTGCTGTCAGTCAGCTTGATAATCGGCGTTCAGGCAGAGAGCCTCGAGGAGAAGAGGACAGCAGTGGAGAGAGAAGAAAAGAGCATATACTTGTGTTCGTCTGCACATAGTTTTTTGAAGAAATTGACGAGTAGAGGAGACGAGAAAAAGAGTATAACAGTATCGATCCTATTGGCTCTAGTATCGATATTTTGAAACGTAACGTAATATCGGAGGTATCGATATTTTGGGATCGATCCGCCCACCCCTACCAAAAAGCAAGCAATCCCAGCAGTACAGCTTTTGTTCCCTGGTTGATCCGGTCATCCAGTTGTATCTGGCGTAATTGCCGATATTAAAATGCCTCTCGAACAGTTTGGTTTTTTGAACCAAATTAACCTGTGGTGTTGGTCGCCCTTTGGTAATTAACTCCAATGTATCCGTGTAACTCATTCTTGAAAAAGACTCGGTTAGTAGTTTCGCAACGATGTCATCACTATCACTAACGTGAGCCATCGTGAATGAACGTATGCTAATTCCGCCTAGCTTGACCCGTTGATATATCACATGCATAAACTTGGCAGCGCAGCGGGCGGAACTTGTCATAAAGTCCGCGATAATAAAGCCCTCCCATTTAGAGGGAAGATATGATTGGTCAATTGTACTGTCACTTGACATTACTCTCTCGTTGTTTTACTATAGCGGGCCCTCTGTGAATCGCATAGAGGGCCAGACGAGCTTTTTTCATGTAACCCTTCACATTCAAACAGAAACTGAACAGGCAGATTCGAAGGATTTATTTCTTTGGAAATTTTATTTTAAATACAATTAAATCAAGTTTTTTCGGTAGAAATATAACAAAAATAATATTTAAAAAATATATATTTAAAAAAAATAATATATTTTTTAAATGTTTTTAAATATTATTATATAATATCTTAGGCCCTCAGAGAGGGCCTAGAGGGCCCTGACGGCTCGCCACTGGTCATTAGAGACCCAGTGTAATTAAACAATACGGTTGCAGAGGTCACATTTTAACATTTTTGTCCACTGGCCAAATGGCTAGCCTAGTGAATGTTGAAATGTTACCAGCCACTCAATAGATTGCCATTGTTATTTGTGGCTGGTGCGTGCAACATACAGTACCAGCTACTTGCATGATTTACCAGCATTTGGCTGGTAAATGGTGTTAATGGTAGATATCTCTTTTGGAACAGGTCATGTTTTAATATCACCAGTTCAGTATATTTCAGATAATATTGCAGCAATAGTTTTTTAGTTGCAAATGGCACAGAACAAATGTATACTTTTAAGTACTTTTAACACAGTTTCCCTGCGGGGGATTAATAAAGTATTTGTGATACTGATTTCTGATTCTGAAGTGTTTTGCTTATAAGTTGTTTGCATTTAGCTAAAGTGTGATGTTTTTCCTCATATTGCATTGCAATAGCCTGTTTAAAGTGATCATATAACAAACAACTAATCAGTACTGATACTGTATGCTAATAGATATAGGAGTGATAATAATACAGTAAATGCTTTGAATGTCTTAGATATAGCTGTGCAGTATTCTTAACAGACTGGATAGCAGCAGACAATAGAAGGCTTATTACAACCAGAAGAGACATGAGACTTTTATTTTTTAGAGACTTGAGACTTGACTTGGACTTGTGACCAAAGACTTGAGACTTGATCAAGTCTCACCCCACAAAGACTTGAGACTTGGACTTGCAAAAAAAGACTTGTGAACATCTCTGTCCGTACTATATAATCCAGTGCTGCAACATTGGACCGGCTGGCCAGCATACTGCGATTCTGTCCTGCAGTATTCCTTCTAAACGCGCTTCTGTCCTGCAGTATTCTTTCTAAACGCGCTTCTGTCCTCCTGTATTCTTTCTAAACTAGCTTCTGTCCTCCAGTATTCTTTCTAAACTAGCTTCTGTCCTGCAGTATTCTTTCTAAACTAGCTTCTGTTCTCCAGTATTCTTTCTAAACTAGCTTCTGTCCTCCAGTATTCTTTCCAAACTAGCTTCTGTCCTCCAGTATTCTTTCTAAACTAGCTTCTGTCCTCCAGTATTCTTTCTAAACGAGCTTCTGTCCTCCAGTATTCTTTCTAAACTAGCTTCTGTCCTCCAGTATTCTTTCTAAACTAGCTTCTGTCCTCCAGTATTCTTTCTAAACGAGCTTCTGTCCTCCAGTATTCTTTCTAAACTAGCTTCTGTCCTGCAGTATTCTTTCTAAACTAGCTTCTGTCCTCCAGTATTCTTTCTAAACTAGCTTCTGTCCTCCAGTATTCTTTCTAAACTAGCTTCTGTCCAGCAGTATTCTTTCTAAACAAGCTTCTGTCCTGCAGTATTCTTTCTAAACTAGCTTCTGTCCTCCAGTATTCTTTCTAAACTAGCTTCTGTCCTCCAGTATTCTTTCTAAACTAGCTTCTGTCCTGCAGTATTCTTTCTAAACTAGCTTCTGTACTCCAGTATTCTTTCTAAACTAGCTTCTGTCCTCCAGTATTCTTTCTAAACTAGCTTCTGTCCTGCAGTATTCTTTCTAAACTAGCTTCTGTCCTCCAGTATTCTTTCTAAACTAGCTTATGTCCTCCAGTATTCTTTCTAAACTAGCTTCTGTCCTGCAGTATTCTTTCTAAACTAGCTTCTGTCCTCCAGTATTCTTTCTAAACTAGCTTCTGTCCTGCAGTATTCTTTCTAAACTAGCTTCTGTCCTCCAGGATTCTTTCTAAACTAGCTTCTGTCCAGCAGTATTATTTCTAAACTAGCTTCTGTCCTCCAGTATTCTTTCTAAACTAGCTTCTGTCCTGCAGTATGCTTTCTAAACTAGCTTCTCTCCTCCAGTATTCTTTCTAAACTAGCTTCTGTCCTCCAGTATTCTTTCTAAACTAGCTTCTGTCCTCCAGTATTCTTTCTAAACTAGCTTCTGTCCTGCAGTATTCTCTCTAAACTAGCTTCTGTCCTCCAGTATTCTTTCTAAACTAGCTTCTGTCCTGCAGTATTCTTTCTAAACTAGCTTCTGTACTCCAGTATTCTTTCTAAAGTAGCTTCTGTCCTCCAGTATTCTTTCTAAACTAGCTTCTGTCCTGCAGTATTCTTTCTAAACTAGCTTCTGTCCTGCAGTATTCTCTCTAAACTAGCTTCTGTCCTCCAGTATTCTTTCTAAACTAGCTTCTGTCCTCCAGTATTCTTTCTAAACTAGCTTCTGTCCTCCAGTATTATTTCTAAACTAGCTTCTGTCCTCCAGTATTCTTTCTAAACTAGCTTCTGTCCTCCAGTATTCTTTCTAAACGAGCTTCTGTCCTCCAGTATTCTTTCTAAACTAGCTTCTATCCTCCAGTATTCTTTCTAAACTAGCTTATGTCCTCCAGTATTCTTTCTAAACTAGCTTCTTTTCTGCAGTATTCTTTCTAAACGAGCTTCTGTCCTCCAGTATTCTTTCTAAACTAGCTTCTGTCCTCCAGTATTCTTTCTAAACTAGCTTCTGTCCTGCAGTATTCTTTCTAAACTAGCTTCTGTCCTCCAGTATTATTTCTAAACTAGCTTCTGTCCTCCAGTATTCTTTCTAAACTAGCTTCTGTCCTCCAGTATTCTTTCTAAACTAGCTGTTGCCCCCATATAAAAATACCTGCACTTTGAATGGATCCCAGCTTCTCTCCATGTCGTTCAGAACACAGTGGAAAACCAAGGCTCCTGCAATTGCAATATTAGAGAGAATGATCATCTTTGAAACGTTCACATTATCATTGAAAATACGCTGCCTGCCCGCCTCTCTTCTTTCCCTGATGCGCCCATCACTCTGGAACAGGTACATCTGGATCCATTGATTTGGTTTTAATAATGTGTTGGACAGTTATCAACCCGATTTGAGTAGTTTCAGCGTTCTCCTTAGTTGTGTTCTTTTCTTGATGCAGGCCAATAATTATACCCCTTCTGAAACTGATTAACATCCTTTCCACGACCACAGGATGTCTTCCGACATGGTTGTTAAAGGAATGAGAAGCTACTCACCGCATCAGCTAGGGTTAAATAACTTGTTGCCAGCTGAAACATATGAATCACTTCAGTAATTATCCAATGGAAGGCTCTTACAGATTGGCTTAGTTTATTTGTTGACTTTTTTT